TTTTTTTTTTTTTTTTTTTTTTTTTGTTTTTTTTTAACGTGTTAAAAAGTTTGATTTTCATATTAGATGCACTTGTCGGACAACACGATGGCCGTTCTTTTATGTGATTTGATGCAAAATTGGAAAAATCATTCTTTGAATTTCCAAAACTAAAGAAGATGGTTTTGTTGAATTATACTATGGGTGAGCATGAGTCGGTACAGTTTGGAGATTGATAAATTTTCAGAACCGTATCGAAATTCGGAAATCACTAAAATACGACTTCCAGAACCATACCGAAAAATCGGTTCACTTCGAAGATTTTTTTTTGGTTCGGTTCGGTTCGATATTCGGGACTATCGGAACGATTTGGTTCGGTTTGTTTCGCTTTGGATATTCAGAGATTTTTAATTATTTTATTTTTTTTTTGAATGACCACCTAGTTATATTTTATTTTTTATATGTTTTTTTTTAATCCATCATTTATCAATATTTTATCATACTAATGATTTTATTTTTAAATCAACTTTAGAAGTAAGTCCAAATTTTAGTTAAAATTAAATTTGTGCAACTAAGATTGAAAATTTAAAATTCAAACAAAATATAATATAATTTTTATTAAAGTAATATTTTTTTAACCTTTTATACCATTTTAGTTATAAGATAGAATAAGACTAAATATCAATAAATTTAAGTAACGTTCATACATTTTTTTTTAAAAAAAATCTTTAATCTTTCATTGTATTCTAAATATTTTTTTTAAACAAAAAAAAAACTCAATTGTCATGAAATATAAGTGAAACTTAATAGTTATTACTACATTTCATTTGGATTTTTAAAATTCTCAAATTATATAGGATTAAAGTTGACATAAAATATATTAATAACATATCTATGTTTATAATTCGGTTTTTAATTTCGGTTCTTTGGTTCGGTACGGTACAGTTCGGTTCAGTTCTCGATACGGATATTTGTGAAATCTCCAGAATTGTACCAATTATTTTTTCGGTTCAGAGAAAGTCAAACGGTCAATGATTATTTTTCGGTTCGGAGTGATTCGGTTTGGTTTTCAGAACGGTTCGGAATCCACCGAGTCCCATGCTCAGCCTACATTATGCATTCTCACCATATAGAAACGAATTATACATTCTCACAATATAGAAAATGAGCGAGCGAGAACCACAATGGCGATTTGATTTGAAAATTGGAAGTCAGTCGTTAAATTTTCTAAATCGAAGATGGTTGAGTTGCATTATACATTGTCTCATACCATATAAAAATCAAGAGAAAGCGAGAACAAGAGAGAGAGATTGTAAAAATCATCACTTTATTAATTCATTTGTGCCTTATACAACAAGAGAGAGAAAAAATTTGTAAAAATCATCACTTTATTAATTCATGTGTGCTTTATACATATGGATAGTACATTTTACATTGGTAATATAACCAAACTCCGGACATACTTGTGAAACCATATTTAGATATTGTCTCCAATTAATTGTTTACAACACTCCCTCTTCCTCTTGAATATTACTGCATCATATCTATGACTCATTAAAATCTCCACTACAAAACTAAGTGGAAAAAAAGTAGAAGAGGAAAGAGTGCACAATTTGTGATTTGTAAGAATTCATGTGTTGCACTTGATCAAGTAAATATCTTACTTAGTAAAACCTATGGGGAAAAAATTCAGCTAAGAGAAAATTAGTACAACAACAGCCAACAGGGCTTCATATCCATAATTACAATCAACCTTTTGTGCTTGATTTTAGGGATTTATTTTATCGGTCTCTGTGAAGACAAAAGGTTATAGTTAAATTCATAATTATTTGTTGCTCCCTATCAATGTAAGAGTTTTCTAAATGAAATATGATAAATACGTGTAACAAGATATAAAATATATTTCTATTAACTTTTGATAATTCATCGAAAGCTTCGTGTCTGTAGATCCATCGAACGACAATGTCAGCTCTCAGAACCCATGCGGCAAATTCGCATCCAACACCTTGTCAGCGAACGGGGTACTCATTTCTTCTTCTTTTTTTTTTCCCGATTCATCGATCGGTTTTGGCATGGAAATTTTGGGCAATTCCACGTGATTGTCAACTACCTTCCCTCTTCTCAACACCGTTATTGCCTTAGCTTGCTCGGGATGGCTAGCAACTTCTCTTTGTTCAGCTCAGCATCCATATTCCCAACCCTAGTGGCTAGTTGGCCCATTTGAGTCTCGACGCGCTTGATGGACCTCTCGTTATTCAAGTCCCTCTGCTCGTTGTTATCCATAAACATGAGAATCTTGTCCAGCTTGTCATCCTGATTAGATGAGCTCGGACCTAACCTCAGTGCTTGCATTCTAACCATTAAACCCCCTTGCTGCTACTGTTGATGTTGTTGAGGATAGTTCGACATCATCTGCTGTTAGGGAATGATGTTAGGTCGGAGTTGCTGCTGGAGAAAGTTTGGTCTAGGCTACTGGACATTATTATTGTCGGACCAGGAGAAGTTCGAGTGGTTTCACCACCCCAAGTTGTATGTATTGGAGAATGGATCATTCCCCGACCTGTTCTAATGGCCTTGTAGTGCGTTGGCGTCTGCATATTGCTCGTCAAAGTATTGCTCAAGCCGATGGGCACACCTCAGATCCATGCCCCGCATCCATCAACAGCCATGGATTACTTTGGCTGAACTCCTCCAACGTTCAATAGTTGCATTTGTTTGGTGAGGTCGGCTATATGTTGTACTATTGTGTTGTTACTCATCCCAACTTCGTTCACCATTGTCCTCTTCCCACAGATGCTCTTTTGAGACAATTTTGTACTCATCGTCTCAAATATCTCTATCATCTCGTCAGTCATGCGTGTTCCAGTGTCCCCGCCGACTGCATTGTCCACCATATACTGAAGGTTTTGGTGGAGGGAATCATAAAAGCAATTCACCAATAGCCCCGATGAGAGGTTATGGTGTGGGCATTGTCTCTGAATATCCTTGAAGCGCTCTCACACCTCATGAAGTGGTTCGTTCGGTTATTGGGCGAAGGAGACGAGTTGGGGCCGAAGCGCTAGCGTCATTTGATGAGAGTAGTACCTCCCTATGAACTTTGAGTACACTTGCTCCCATGTGATAAGAGAGTCAGGAGCAAGAGTCATAAACCACGCCTTGGCCCAGTCTTTGAGAGTCCACGAAGCAACGCATTTTCAGCTGGCCTTCTTTCAGGCCATGTAGAGGAAAAGTCCGAAGTACAATGTAGAATTCCTGGAAAAAATGAAGCGGCTCCTCATTTGGAAGACCATTGAAAGCCGGGAACTTGTTGTAGTTGATTGTCTTATGCTTGTAGTTCTGAGCTGCTAGTCCTAACTGAATGCACGGGGTTACCGACCAGTATCTGTTGAGCCAACTCACGAAGAAGATAGCGAGTGGGTTGATTCTCGGCTTGCTACTCGATTCATTCCATGCTGACTTGGTTGTCTGATTCAGAAGATTCAAGAAGAAGATTGACCAATATATCCCTCAAGCTCTCGTGAATAGAATTGTCGTTCTCGATAATGCAGTGTCTGCTTTTAGTTTTTGTGTGGTGTTTGTAGTGTTTTGTGTTTTAGGCTACCACCTGGCGGTATGCCTCCCTTCTCCGGCTAGTTAGCCAGTTGTAAGTACGTGTTATATATATGAATATATCTTTTGGAAAAAAAAGTTTCGGATAACGATAAAGTAGCTAGGGAGTCAGGGATATTTGTTCTTAATTCAAAACGTAAATATCAAAAAATTGATCGTTTGGTTAGATGATTCTATTAACCTTCACGTCTAGAGATTTAACGTCAATAGCTTTCGTAACAAGAGGATAAACATGGACGACAAATCAAACAACACAAAGGCAATACAATTACAAACATGCCTACTCTATAAGAACCTAGGTCAAACGGCTCCTCCCATCTAGGTTCTAAAAGTTGTTTAAATAGATTAGAAGGTGATCAATCATCGAACCCTAGGTATAACACAACTCGAATAGATTGAACGAATATCAATAGCAAGAGAAGCACGCGAATATGAACCATCATCCTCTATTCCTAGCAAGAGAATGTAGCAACCCATATCAAATTGAGCACTGATTATCATATCACTCAAACACATCAAACCCATAGCCAAAACCAGAGGAATGCTTATAGTTAATACGAAGTCGAATATCGAATCCAAAGTACAAACCAAATTCACAATAGGATTCTTGGAGTGTCACCCTTTAAGATCCAAATTCAAGCCAAAGATTGTTTTAAAGAGAGAAAACTGAAAAATATCAAGTGTTGAATGATTTTTTTAACCCTAGGCACGACTCCCAAAAATAGCCCGTCCAAAGTAGTTCAAAAACCCAAAGTTTAAATTCTGAGCGCGGCGACCCGCGGGACGCAGGTCGGGGGTGTCTTTAGGCTTTGAAAATCCCGTGGGTCGCGAGTGGTGTGAAGTCCCAGGTCGTCCTGGGTGGGGGAGAATTCTGGCGAGCCTGGTCTGAAAGTCCCGCGGGTCGCGGGAGACTTGGGGTGCCATCTTCTTTTCTGTGGGGTCTCGGGGGCACGTCGGCTGGAATTCTCAGAACAATATATCGGGATAGTATATACTAAGCTCGACCAGATGCACTTGCTCTCATGCAAGTAAAACAAAGAAAACACACGAAGAAAAGCAAAATGAACGAAACATGAACGGAAACCGAAATACCAATAAAAACTAACGACGCGGACCGAAAACAATAAGAAACACTTAAGAGGAAGAAAAATAACAAGCAAATAAACAAGGAAAATAGTAATAAAAATAGGACAAACAGGTTCAATTAAAATCCTCATGCGATTAGATAGGTCATGTAACATCTTTCATATATTAATGCAGAATGTCTCAATCATACGTGTCCACTTATGCTACTTTGTAATTTTATGTTTCGAATTCCGATGCTTTGTCTATGAGTCAATTTCTACAATCCATGTAGATGTGGATTCTATTCACACTTTTAAAATTATAAAACATTTGACTAACTTAAATTATAAATATATATTTAAAAGTTGATAACTTTTATATTTGTTATCATTTTTCCGTACAGAATATATCAAATTAATCATCTATTAACGAGTTTTGATCCGATATTCATATTGCATTTAAAAAATAATATTTTAAATTTTCTTTATTATAAAATTAAAATCATCTATTAACTACTAATTAAAAATTAATATATATATATATGTATATATATATATATATATATATATCAACTAAAAAAGCTCTCTATAAACCCATTGCATATGAAAGAAAAAATTATTATAATATAAGAATGGTAAATAATACGATTGAAGTCTCATTTTAAATATAAATAAATAAATTTTAAAAAGTATTAGAAATTTAAACGAGAAAAACACCACTTACATTTTCAATGATGTAATTTTTTTAGAAATTATTTAAATTTTCAATAAAAAAATTATGTCTAAATATATTCTTTTTAGAATTTCGATATACTTTCTTTTAAGGGTTAATTGCCATTTAAACCTTGACCTTTTCACTTTTGGCAATTTAATCCAAACTTCTAGATAAATGCAAAATAATACCAGACTTGTATTACTTTTGCAAAATT